TTTCATAATCTTCTGCAATAATTTCACATATTATCTTCCTGTCTGGCATACGAATGTTGCTGGTAAAGCATCTGTTATTAGTCTTTTGTCGCATACATTGCCTGAAGTAAACTGTAGACCATTGACCGCAGTGCTTTAAAGTAATCTCAGAACAATACAGAAACATTGATTTACAATTTAAATGCTTATTTTGCTTCATTTCTTTCCTAACTGCTCGACAACGAAGGGTCAAGCAGAGTCAATTAGTTGAACCAACAAAATATCAGTACTAAACAATTTTTGCTGATTTCCCTGGGCTTCTCTGTATAACCCTCAGCTGCTCCTCTCCAAATGTTCATGACAGCAGAACACAAAACGCCTGTGAAATAACTGCATTTCTGAATCAGATTATCTGGATTTGTTCTAACATTTACTTTTTTAATCTTATGCAGAGTGAGTGTCCAATATTTTGCCATGATTTGGCACACTTCTGAACTTCCAATTGTGTAGTCAACCTTGTAACATGCTCCTCAGCAAAACACCATTTTTTGTACCTTTTCCAGATGTATTCTTGCCACAAACTGTTCCAAGAGTTCAGGGGTCACTTGGATTCTTTCCAGAGAAAAAAAGGCATAGGATTTTAGCCTTTCTCCCAGAACTTCTGGAAGTTTTGTTCTTTCTAACATAGAATGCCTGCCTTGATCTCAAACTTGTCATTTGTCTACTCCTGGAATCGATTTGAACTCATAAGAATTTCCTTCAATAATCATGTCTTAAACTATCCTTATTCTTTTAATGACACTGTCTCAGACAAGTTCCAAATTCTTTACTAATAGCTGCATTGAAAGTTTAAAATGTTTAAAAATTATTTAACTCAAACCTGCCTTTCAATTACAAACAATATGAGCATAATTTTTTTATCCACAACATTGCATTCCTTTTTATTTTTCTTCCAGTTTCTTCACTTTTGCAGTACAAGTGGATCATAATTTGAAACTTTTCCTTGATATCAGATATTTCTTCTGCAGATGGAAGTTTTGGAGATTTTCACATAATCACATACCTCTAAAAGCAGCTTCCAGAAATGAATATACACATTTTATGCATAAATTTTAAAATCTGTTGTCTTACTATTGTCCCTATCCTTGTTACACCTAAAGGATCAGTTGTAGTTCCGTAACTGTCCTATCTTAAACATTACTATTTCTTTCATCTACATTTGACTATCCCATATGGGAATTGATTGTTCTCAAAATGTAACAAAGCACTAGATGCTTTAAAAAAAAAAAAAAAAACAAAAAAACAACCACAACAGATTCTTAAGCTTACTTATTTTTTTTCTTCTTCTTTAAGAACCGCATTTGGCAGCCATTTTTAGGAGACTGAATTGCATAGGACATAATTTAAAACACTATTTGTGGAGCATTGCAGTTGTGACCTACTAATCTGTATTTCCAGTGGCAAATCTATCTACACAGCATAACAAAAATTACATCTGGAAAATACATATGATACTAACACCTGCTATCCTAAGTTTAGTTAAGAGCATGTTAGTTTCTCTAGTTGTAAGATTCCTTTTTATGGGTTCTTGACTTTCTGCACAGTTCTTGGAAGGAGCACTTGTAAAACTGTAATGGTCTCAGAGCAGCCGAAACATCTGTCAGAGACAAGCACTGTTAAACACTGTACACAGCTATTTACAGCATAAAACTAAAAAGACTTAAAAATTGTCTTTATAGTCTATGGGGTAAACAAGAAAAGTCCTGAAAATTAAAGTCTCTCTACTACTGCAGAGTTGCTTGGTTCACAAAACTAAAATATTTTTCTTTTTTTAGTTTTATATTCTAATACCTAACCTGCTAGCCTCTCCAAACACTGAAAGGGACCAGTGAGGAATTTGGGAAAGATGCTGTACTGCAGAGAATCACACACAATCTGTTCATGTGTCTTCAGGGATATGAATTGCTTCATTGTCACTTATTGTGATCAAATTGATAATCTAATATTCCAGACTTAAGAAATTAGACTGTCTTCATGGAAACAATTTCAGCTAGATCCATTCACAGATGATAGGAAATTAGTTCCACATCACATTTACATTTTCATGTATGACTACGACATTTATACACAGGCATAATGACAGAAAGTTCAATCTAAGCAAAATCAAATATTATTAGCATTGGCAAGAAATGGTAAATGCGAGCTAGCAGCCAAATTGAAAACACCTTCTCAAGATCTCCTATAAGGGAATACTCTTTGCCAAGAAAAATGTCACAGGCCGGAAAACAGTTCAAAACTTTAGTTTAATTATTATAACAAAAACATTTATTTTAGTTTATTCTGCTTTATCATAGGAGACAAAAAATACACATTTGGATATTTTATCCTTCTACTGTGCCAGTTAATAAAATAGAAGGGTTTAGTATGATATTTGTGTTGTAAATCCACATCCAGAAATATCTGGAACTACCCAATAAAATAACCATCTAAAAATGTTTGAATAAGCAGCTTTGGAACACAACTGCACCTCTTTGTTCAAAACTGCCTTCAGAAATCTTTAAATTGCTAAGCAGCACAAGCCAAACCCTGTCCTTTAGTGGGATCGCAGAAAGTCACAGAGGGTTGACATTTGCTCTAAAGAGTAGGTATAGGAAGGCAAAATATGACACCGTAAGAACTTATTTTAAATTACCTTTATTTTTACTCCAAATCCTGTACTAATGATAACCTCATGGAGGCATAATCTTTCTGATGTTTCACTGTGCCTTGTACAACTGTGATTTAGCCTTTAGAAATATCACAGATGAATATGTAATAACATGTAACAAGCATATTTATGCATACTATTGTAACATGTAATAAGTATGCTATTACACATTATTTTAACATGTAATACTAATAATATAAATGGAGTTAAACTACACATGGTTGTGAAGATGGAATTAAAATTAAGAAATGCTGAAGAGAGTTTTTATAATCGTAACTTGGCCAATGTTTTGTTTTCAACATGAAAGGACAATAAATCTCTAATCTATATTTAAAAAAAAAAAAAGACTTCAAGATCCTATGGTTTTTGAAAGCTAGTTTCGAAAGTATAGTTCTCTAATGCCTTTAGTAATTTGATTTTGATTAGCCCCTTGATCAAGATAGAGGCATGATTGCTGGAGTATTAGCATTTTTGACTGGATAAGGACCATGCTGTACAGTAAATGCAGTGTCAATACCCTATTATATTGTGAAGTGAAACATAGAGCTCAAATAAATGAGCAATTTAAATGTTTTAAGGTTTAAAATAGCTGTTTAATGATTGTGAGTTTAAAAAATATTTTGTGTCATTTTGACAGTCTCTATCACATAACTTGGACAAGTCAAAGCATTTTTCTAATCTGTAACAGCAAATATGAAGACATATTAAGAGAACATTAATTCTGAGTATCTGGTCCCAGTGCCTACCGCAACATGAGCATCAAGGTCACCTATTTAATGGCAAAGCAAACATGTTAGGTAGCAGATAAACAATTCTTATTAAAATATTGCTATAGTGGACAATGATTTTTATTTTATAGTCTGGCAAAAATTAAGCAATATAAGGTAAAATTCAGCCAAGGTATTTCTAAATTAGCTTTTAAAAAAGGATAGCTATTTTGGAAATCTTAATTTTTGTAGACAATTTATTTCACTTTATTACTATGCTTTACAAATTGCTTATATAGTGCAAAATATAATTCAGTTGAAAAATATAATGAGGCAATTAACAGCATGTCTTTTAATTTTGATATCATGGAAATAAGAAGAACATGCTTTAATTTAAGTGGCTTGGCAGTTATATAATAGCTCGTGGACTTGGCATTACTATAATAATTGGTTTAATAGTCTTTTTCATTTTCCACCACAGCCATACACATTGATATTAGAGGAAAGCCAGTAGCTGCGAGAATAGCTCAGATCTACCCCTCTAGATCTATAGGGCTCCAAAAGGGGTCAAATAATCAGTGAGTAGACAAAATTAAAATCAATAAAGCTAAAAACCCCAGTGGAAATGAATTAATTTGACTCCCTTCATAACTTTCATTTGATAGTTCAAGAAGCATTTCAGGTCAATTATATTAATAGAAACTGGTTGAGTGAAAAGATGTTGATGATGACCCAGAGCTAATTAGCATAGCTATTTTCACTCCATCTTCTACAAAGAGAATGGCAGAACATAGACACAGAATCAGACTCTTTTTTTTTTGAGCACTGATGAAAATTGGCAGGGGACAAAAGGATGAGTGAAACTGCTTAGCAGCTTTAAGTGACAAGTCCATACTCTATGATGAAAACCAAAAATAAATGCAGATATTTATAATAATTTATTAAATAAGATTTAAAAGGGAAAACTGAAGCATAACTGGAACAATGTGGTCAGTGCCAAATAATAGTTACTTCTTTTACAGAAACCTATACTATTTCATTTCTCTTGCATTTTTCATGTCATCAAAGGTTTCTGTAAATCTGTCTCTCAAGCACCTAGATGGTAAAAGTCATAGAAAGTTGAGAAAATTTTATTAAGAAACAAGTATGAGATTACTTAACTAAAGAATACAGGATCCAGTATATTGGAGCCTGCAAAAATTAATACAAGCCTTTTAAATTGATAGTATTTCACAGGTAAATTACAATTCAATCTTCTAGATATAGTCAGGAAGAAGTCATTTGGCATGTAAGTCACTTTCATATGCTACAGAAGCTATTCTAAGTTCAGTTTCTTTTCACAGTTTACTGTGTAAGAAAGTCTGATTTTATCTGTTTCAAATCCATCGTTGCTCAAATCTGGATACTTAGACACAAGAAATATGACTTGGAACCACAGCCATTCATAGCCATGAAAAACCTATACCTGTGTGAATTCTGATTTAAGGATGCAATTGAATTGTTTCAAATAAAACAACTTCTGATGCATGTTTTAATGAGGTTTATTGCAAGTGTTGCATCTGTTCACCTTGCCTACAAGTATGACTATTACAAAGAGCATACATTACCGTGTAATTAAGCAGCAGTCATGAATGATGCTGTCCTCCACAAATACACCACTTTCTTCATCTGTTTCAATCAGACGACCCGCATGGTACCAATGTACTTGGGTGGTATTGTCAACGTATGTTGCAGTACACTGAAACGGCAAGCGGTCTCCATGAAAAACCACTTGCCTTTGTGATGGGATCAGCTCAAAAAGAGGAAGTTCCAGAGGCCCAGCTACAGGGAAAACAAAACATAAAAATAGGAAAATAAAAAACCTCACAATGGATTCCTCTCATGAATATTGTGAAGTGAACTGATTGTACATAATTCTAGCTCCTCAGATCTTAACACTAAAGCACTAATATAAAAGATATGCCCATAACCTTAAGTCTGATCATGTTGTGAATTCTAGAGATCATATTTCTTTCATTGGTGTGAGCTTAGATAATTACAGGATTACTAGAACAGCTACAGAAAATGGGTTTCAAAGAATAGCTCATAGTATGGGTGAAGTTAGAAGGGATCTTTTGAGATGCTCCAGTCCAGGTCCTACTCAAAGCAGGATGCTTTACTACAGAAAAAAAAAATCAGTCTTCCAATTAAAGAAAAATATAGGTAGAATTAACACTTACAACTGCCAGTGAATGGAATTCCTATTGTGCTCCAGAACAAAACTGACTCACTCTAGAGAGCCTAATGTATTTCATGTGCCTGGAATTTTGATAATAGTAAAGGTAATTACAAAAGTTAAACTTTCCTGTGAAGTTCCCCTGTCTTTATGATTCCTCATTCCCCTGTCCCTACTTCCTTTTGTCCATTCCACAAGTCATCTTTACTATCTAGATATTTACTCAACTATAAATATTTATCTAAATAGCTCTTTCTACTTTTTAATAGTGGAGTACATTTCACCATCTTTATTTTATGAATTTTCTCTCTCCTGTCTTTCCCCAAGAAATACCCTAATCATAAGAATATTGCATAATCTTATTCTAAGCAGAATCTTACAAAAAAACAAGCTGCCATCATCACATACTCAAATGCCTAAACACAATTAAAAAATAAACAGTGTTGTAAATTTGGAAGGGACATGTATTTTTGGGACTGCTGAAAGTCTGCTAATTTCATAGATTTGACAGTGATTGAAGGCTATATTCTTCAATCCCACAGTGTCTGTAGAGACTGAATCTCTAGATCCTGAAATTACCTTAACACAATTTCTGTAAAACATTTACTATACATTGTGAGATTAGTGCTATTTCTTTAAAACAGTAGCAGAACATTGAAAAGGAGCATTTTAGGAAAGGTAATTGAAACAGAGTCTCTGCATCTACAGAAAGATCATCTTCTATGGGTTAATGAGGAATAAAGGAAAACTACTTTTCTTTTTTCTGATACAGTCTCCAGAGGTAAGAGAAGAAAATTACTACCCTGATACTTTGTTATCATCACACAAAATTCTAAAGGTAATAAAAATAATAAGGACTTACATATGTGATTGATGAACAGGCTACCATGAAAATCTTGTACAGTAATTCCTAAAATACAACCTTTTCAACTCAGCCTACAAAGCCAAAACAACTGACTGAGCTGGGTCACTTTAAAACTTCACTATTGCAATCTCATCTTAGACAAAATGCCTACAGTCATGCACCTTGGAAATCCTTCTAGCTTGACAAGGAAAAAGAATTTTTAAGCTAGATCTTCTTCTCCCTTATTTTTCTTCTGTTTTTATTTAAAGGCCTCTCATCATTAATATCTATCTAGCCTACAGGGTTGTTACTTGATAGGTCACCCTTCCACATTTGCACCACTAGAACGACTTCAAACATCTATTTTTCTGACAAGTACTTCAACATTTTTTTTCCATTTCACTGCTCACCATTTTATCTTCCTTAAGCTTTCTCCTCAAAATCCTCCATTGCCCATAATAAATACAGATGAACTTAACCATGCCTAACCAGATGGCAAGCCATAGTCACTGGTTCTACAATTGCTAAAATTTGTGGACAAACAGTAGCATTTGCTCACCTCCTGACTCAGCATCCCATCCTAACACACTTCTTCATGTCATTCAGATGTTGTCTTTGGAACACTTAAATTATGAGAAACTGCATTCACAAACCTAGCTTTGGGCCCTCAATACTATTGGGGAATTTAAAAGTTAAATAGTATGTTCATCATCTGGTTTGAGCAAACAGTGAGAGAGATCACTTCTGCTTTTTTATAGAGTAAGAATGCTGGACAGCATAATACGCAGGATTTGTACATCAGTGAATATTCGATATTGCTGTCCAGGAGAAGCACAGAGGATTAAGGGGCTAGCTAGTATCTGCTGAAATGTTGTAAGTCTGCTGTGACTATAAAGGTCAGGCTTCAGATATCCTTCCTTACTTGCATACACATCCTGTGGTTTATCTTCTGATTGTGTGTATTATTTGTGAACATGGATGTGCTACTAAAAATTCCTTGAAATGTACCTAGTATTTCTATGTGATTTTTGGCTTCTAACTAAAATAAAAGAAAGCAAACTTGATTAATACCTCATTCATAATAGCTGCAGGCTTAGTCTCAGTCATTAACATTAAAAGTTTTTACTAGACGATAGAACCTCTCTCTCCAAGAGGCTGCAATCTTTGTCTTGCATTACAAAGTCAATTACAGAATATAAGGAAAACTTATGGTGTGGAATTTAGCCGTAAATTACATGAATTATTATGAAAATAGAGTCCAGAAAAATTAAACATACTGTCACAAGTACAAAACCAATGTATACTACTTGCAGAAATAAATATTTCTCATGAATACAGTAATTTTTAACTGAGGATATTGTATCTTGTCAAATGGTTTTGCTCATGCACTGAATAACACATTGTGTCATGAGGCTATAAAGTAGCAGGAGTGTGAACTATAGTATCAATATTTCTTAAGTCAAGCTAAATAACTTGCCTGGCATACAGACACAGTGTAACGCTATCACTGTGAATTTATCTCTGCCTTTACAGCTGGTCTTTAAGGCCTTCCCATTATTGCTTCTGCTGCTCAGCCTTGGGAGTCACCAAACCCAGAAATGGAGTAGGAATTATGTGTTCTGTGCAGATTTGGTCAATTAATGACCAGCAGTAAATGAAACCTTTTTTTACTGAAGGCTATCAGAAAAGGAGAAAATGATCCTTTGGTTGTCATCAGTCATATCAACAACCTACTCATTTTCTGTTAATTTTGCAAATTCTTCTAAGTGCCAACAAAGATGCAAAGTGAATGAAACATACCTTTGGTTTACCATTAGGATGGGAAATCCTTCTGACCAGCTGAACCCCTTCACAGTGTATGTGTATGGACTAGCTAAATTAACAAATAATGCTGCAAACCCATTTCCAATGTGAAATTAGTAAAATTCTATGGATAAGGACATCTGCAGAGCAAGGAAGGTACACTTAAGGTACTTATACAAAACATCTGCTTTTAATCTAATGTTTACAAAAAATGATTACCAGAACTAATCTTCAGTTGTTTTCCAGTGATAATCACAATTTAAACCCTTCAAATTCAGAATAAAAAGTAAAGTATTTTCTAGTGCTGTACACACATTTTCAAGCTTGACTTTAAGAATAGAAGTAAGAAACTCTGAAAGTGTTTGAAATTATTTTGGCATTGATTTGATAGCACTTGAAATAAAACAGCTCTGGTAAGCATATACCTACAGAATAGAAATTTTCTCTTTGATTATATGATTTCTAAAGACCAAATAAATATATACCATCTCTGATGCTCGTATATATGTGTGTGTGTGTATGGCATATACAACAGTCTCATAAGATTAAAAATAATTTACAATTTACTACTGTATTCTGGGAGAGGAGGGACTAACTCAGGGGGATTTTATTTATTGAATTTTTACACACGTGAAAAATATTCCAAGTTTCTCCTTCCAAGGCAATCCACTCTGCTGCCCTCAAGTTTGGAGCTGGCACTACCATCTGCAAATGAGAGGTGTGACTCTCCTATAGGCATTTAGATCAAGGGTTGCTGGAGTGTTTTACAGTCTTTACCTGTTCTGTCTCTCTAGTCAGCACTAAACCGTGATTGCAGCAGAGCACCACAGGAATCACTGATTGCAGCATGAATCTAAAGTTCTAACCCGTCATTAGAGTAATTACATCTTTTTCTTTATCTTTCACTTCTCAGCAGAAAAGGGTTTTGTTGACTGAAGGCCAGATTCTTTATGCGACCCAGTCTTGTAATTCAGATTAGCACTAGACTGGAATACTGAGGACATATGGAGGGGGAATCAGGTTACACAAGTACCAGTGAATGGCAATGTCTCTTAAGAGTCCTCCTCACAGAACATATATCCCTGCACATTTTAATGCCTGCAGTGCCTCAAGAGGTATATGAAGTTGAAAAAGAAAATAGAATTTATTTTAATCACTAGCTAAACCAGAAAAACAGCAAGGTGCACTGAAGCTCTAAGGAAATCTTCCAATGCGTATGCCCTTAATATCTTTATAAAACAATTTATCTCATGCACACACATTAAATACTTTCTACTATTTTTCCTTACAACTCAGTTCTCGAGATTTTTTAAAATAGTTCAATTTTTCTTCTAATTTTGGCCTTCTTTTTCATCTAACATTTTAAGAGATGGAAAGAAGAACAACATGAAGGAAATACTGCTGTCACTGGACATATATGGAATACAAATGTCTGTAAAAGACATAACACACAATGCATTTCTAACCTGTATTTTAATCATATTTTAAAAATAATATGATCACATTTAGAATGTATGCATTTATGAGTGGACACTACTGTCTTCTGGGAGAATAAGCAAAAACAAATCTGTAAGCACAAAAGCTAGCCCATGCAATAGACTTGACTAAACACTACAGAAAGTTGGCTTGCCATTGGCCAACATGACTAGCACAAGGTACCAGAGACATTTAATATAAATGCCAAATATTATAACATTAATTTGTAAAATGGCAACAGCTACTTGAAAAATTTTCACAATGGGAAATTCAAGGTCTGATTCCAGTTAATCAATTAATCAAAAATACTTTCTGCACCCAGACAAAATGAAGCCCATGTCTTGCATTGGCATATCTAGCAGAAGTTTAAGTGAATAGCCAGAGTTTTTTTCATCGCTTGTTTCTCCTTTAACAAATAAAACCGCTGCCACTTTACAATTTCATGTTTTCAAATTGCCTCAGAAGTCTACTTTAGAAGCTGGA